CCTCATGCACTGGTGTTCCGGTTGCACTATTCGAATGTTGAACGTTACTCAAAAGAGGGCGTTGATTTCACAAACGTTTATGGTATGAATTCAATACCTCTAACAGGGCCGTGTTCATCATTCACACTGGTATACACTTCGCTATTTATAGTCCCATATATTCCAATGTATTTTCATTACGTAGCCTATATTTTATGTATTTACATAAATATCCCTATAATATACAACATATACACCACAGTAATGATAAATTAGGTAGGTCTAGCAATAGGTGACTGATTACTAAACTTATAAAACATATTTATGGGTAAGAGGTACTTAAGCTCATTTCCATCATGTATGATATAGAGATCTAAATTGCGTAATACTTCAGTTTTTATGTAGGTTTTTCTTGAAGTAAATGAATTATCCGTTTAGAAGCTTATCGTAGAGTTGTTTAACGTTTGCGTAGTAAGGTAAAGAAAAAAACAGGCTATGCCAGACCTGCGAAGTGAAAGAGGAGAAAACAACTACCTAAAAGACAAGTCTGATTTTACTTTGCATCTAATAAAGACTTGTCTTTCACTTAACACCACATGTCCAGTATGTTTATTTTTCATCTCAAACTCAGATACTTCACAAGATTTCTGGTAGATCCTCTGTTATAAAGCGGACCTATTTAATAGTCGTGTCGAAATCAACTCCACTTGACAATACCACAAGACCAAACAGACGGGCATTTACGTTTGACCCCATACCCAAATATTCATGTCTCTTAATTTGATTTAACATATCACAACTAAATTCCACTCCTTTATAAGTCGGCGTATTTGATAAATAGCACGTGAAAAATAGTTTATAGAAGCGTGAAAACAAAACAATATATTTACTGTAATCTAAGAACGTCACAACTGAGACAATTATTGATCTGTACGTTTTATCTATCATTGTTTTTCAGACGATGAATTATGCACTATGCGATTTAGCAGGAGACATAATAGGAATCACAAAAACCGTAAGTTTTATTTTATTTTTAATGATTTAAGATAGCTTATGAAATGTTTATAACTGTGCAATTTTTATTAAGTAAGTATTATTATTTCATGCGATTTTCAGAGGCAAGGCAGTATAAAAAAATAATATTTCTAGATTAGGGTAAACTTAGCTAAAATAATTGTTTAAAAGTGAAATTAATTACGTAGATATTGTACACTCTCTGACGTTGAAGTTAATGATTTTGTGAAGTGTTCAACAGATTGAAATACTTTGTGTACCCTCCATTAATGAAACACTATTAAAAAAATTTAAATACTTCTTGAGATAAAGCTATACTGTAACGTTTAACTATGATTGTTGTTTGTTACTGGATTTCGCGCAAAGCTACACGAGGGCTATCTGCGCTAGCCGTCCCTAATTTAGCAATATAAGACTAGAGGGAAGGCAGCTAGTCATCACCACCCACCACCAACTTATTGGCTACTCTTTTACCAACGAACAATGGGATTGACTGTCACATTATAACACCCCCTCGGCTGAAAAGGCGAGCATGTTTGGTGTGACGAGGATTCGAACCCGCGACCCTCAGATTATGAGTTGAGCGCCCTAACCACCTGGCCATGCCGGGCCTAACTATGATATTATTCTTCAAACTAGTTGAATTTTCTTAATAGTAATACTAACATTACTAACTTTATTCAGGGCTTGAACGTCAAACTTAAGGACATAATACATTATTTGGATGAAAGACTAGCTTTGAATACAGGTACTCTAAAATATGTTTCTGATTTGTAATTTCTAATTCATGGTTTTAAAATTGAAATCTTTGTGCATTATGTGTAAAGGAGTTATATATAGGAAAGACATTTAATGACAGAGCATTGTTTAAAGGAAAGTTTAACATTAGAGAATTCACGATTAGAGGTGACCCTAACATTAGAGCATTTGCACTTGTCTCCTAGAGATGAAACTACCATTGAAGTACCATATAAATGGGGATTAAACGTTCAAATCCACCACATTTTAGTTGGGAATTCGAATATAGCTCAAGTTTGTATAGCTGATGTAGCGTTATGGCTAGAGTTTATGTTGTTGTTGTTGTTGTTTTTTACTTTTTTTAGAGGTGAGGTTTAAGGTAAAGGCTTTATATTTCACTTTTAAATTGAGGCTAAATTTCAAGACATTTTGACATTATCAAATGATGAAAATAAAGTTTATTAGAGTTCATTTCTTTAGACATTGTTTAGAGGCTGATCACTATGACACATGGTGAATAACATACCACATATTGTATATATGCTTGTAAAATATATATAAATACTATATTTATACCCTGTAGCTATATGGGGAGTCTTTAAACATTGGATTGGAGGGACTACTGAACTATACAGGAATGGTGCTTGGACTGGATTTTGTAACTGCATGACTTTTATCCATGCATGCCCATGTAATGCACGTTGGCTAGTATTTATATCCATATATATATATATATACATACATACAGGCCTTATAATGTTTTAAGTTGTAAAGCCTTATATATAT